ACATCTGCTTCTGAATTTTAATATTATGATTTTATGTTGTCATTTTATTTGATAAACTATTTGCGAAAACTGTATGGCAATTGACGGGGTATGTCATGGCGATGTATGTCAATCAGCACAAGTCCGCGCAAAATCCAGGGATGAATTGCAGGTTAGCTGAGCCAATTTGAAAGGCCAGGGTGCTCAAAAATAGCAGCATTGTTGCTGAGCGGTATAGGTCGTGTCGATTGGGAAGTAAATACATTTGTTATGGTGAAATCGAGTGAAAAACCTACACAAATAATCGCATGGACATTTCTTTTCACCAGATGATTCACGTACCGTTTATGCATGTTACTAAACAAATAGATGGATAAATAAATAAACAGGTAACATCCCACAGGCGAAAATGTACCATCAGATTAGGAACTGAGCTTTAAATAGGTAATAATAGAAGGAGGTGACGCTTCATCGAAGAACTAGACTATTTTGTTATTCGAATAAACCGCTTATATTCCAGCGTGAAGTCTAGATTCCAATTATCAAGCCAGGTCATTCGATCGAGTAAAAGGTTATCCAGCCATCCAAAGCCATCCAAACCTTCAATACAAGATGCGTTCAATTATTTGTGCCGAACTTGTCTTCGAGGCTGAAAGAACTGACGGGGCCGTTTCAGATAGGCCAAACACACACCAGGTAGCCAGTGTGCGTGCGGCACTAAGACGTGTGCATGGCCCAATCCAAAAGTGGCGCCGTCGTTCCAACGTCGAGCGATTCGCCCTCCACGTGATTTTGAATGAATGTTTATATGTATGCCGTACTAACAGTGGAGAGCATGTGATCTTCCCCAACCACCTAGGCATCTCCAAGTCCAAATGAACTCGGAATGATCTCGAAATAGAACTGACTTAGTATATTTGCTATGACGACATCATCGTTGGCCGACGAGGCGGTCATGTCGTTCGTTCCTCGACAACGAGGTGGTGAAAGGCAATTACCCACTGACAGCTGAATATCTCTCTCATAATCGAAATCCAATTAGCGGGTCGCCTTCGTATATTCACACACACATACAAACCCACAAACACAAGCACTGACAGATTTCATCAACGAATCATAGACGGGAAGGGATGGGGAAGTGAGAGAATACCAAGATTTTCACTTTTTCTAGGAACTTTTCAATTTTACGGGAAATTGGTACGCACAAGGAATGATAGAAATCAGTTGAGGGAAAACAACTCAAATTAGAAGACAGCAGGACAACCCCCACCGAAACTTGCTACCTAGTAGCAATGGAAACCCCCTCCTCACCCTGGTTATCACTATTTATACAGAATTCTCACTGAAGTGTTGACCTAAACAGAACAAACTGTCTAACTAACTATAAACGGGATGTACTTCACCCCTGTTTTCGATCTTACTAACCTTTGGGTCAATCTGTTTGCCGTCCAGTTGATCATGAACGGCAAGCACAACAATGCGATTTTCTAGGCTGAAAAGTAGTGGATGCTAACACACTTTTTCCAAAGGTTTCTTTTGCACCTCTTCTTTTTTGAAGGACTACTCTCTGGCTTTTACCGGTTTACACTAGAATTGACTACTTCGTTGAATTTTGGCTTATTGATTCTCGAAGAGCACTATATGATTAATTAATAAAAAACAGGGTTAATATCAACAAATATCTAAGTAAATAAACAGATGAGTAAATAAAACTACTGTTAACCCTCATTGGAGAAAAAACATCCTTCAGTAGCTGCCGCACTTCTGAGTCTAACTTCTGATCATGAGAGCGTCGGATATCAGAGCGGTTGATTGCCTTTTCAGCTGGTATTGAAGTTATTGAAGAAATCGAAGTGGAAAGGTAAAAGAAAACAGGTGATTATGTGAATATGGTAGTAGGAAAATTAAAAAATTAGAATGAGGAAATCAATTACCGCCTTCATGACTAACGTGTACTAGAAGAACTCTCTCGGAAGGCCGACTCGAAAGTTCTGGTCAAAGGCTCTTGAATGAATTACACTGGATCAATCCAATATTTATAACGTCAAGCAATTTTAGTCATAGGAGATCGTATATAGCCTTTCGAATGATCTCAATTGCTGGTGGACTTTGCAGAATTCCCATATGTTCAGCGTTGGGGATCTCATGGAAGGTAACCTACAAATAACGGTTATTGATGAGAAGTTTTGGCGCCAAAGAAATTTTCAAGCAAAAGTTGCTGATGTGGGCGGAGATTCCGGAAGACTGGCTGGAGGAAATCCCTACCAGCATATTCGACACTGGTAGGGATGCCCTTACCCGTCTGCTGAAATCCACTTCGCCGAGCGCATCGCCCACAACTTCACTCCATGGTGACGCCTTCCTCTAAGATGAACTGAAAGGTACACTGACCGGTTTTCCATTGTTATTGGTTTCGTTCCAGCCAAGACAGACTTCTGCTGATCGGCGATTTACTGTGCCATCACCATCTCCGTACATAACGTATGGCTGATAATCCGGGAAATAGCCTTTGGGCCATGTGAACTGTTCTGCTGTGGCTATGCCGGTACCATAGATACAGTGTAGCTAAACTGTGGATTTTCAGTAACCCTGAGGCAGCTTTGACAAAACGTAGCCTAAATTTTGAGCCGAGAGTCCAGATACTGGCCATCTCTCCCTACCTTGACTCCAGGTGCATTCAGGTTCCCATTCAGCTGTGCTGCTACCTTGTACTGCTCCCAGCCAGTGGGATAGTTAATGTCATGGAAGAATTCTTGCACGTTAGCCATCTGAATCCTTCTATTATTAATATTTTATTTATTCTATAATATTCTTTTCTATTTTATTCTATAATTATTTTTTTGCACACGGCAGCCACTGCCCGAACTGTCAAAGCCAAAATTTCTTTACAAGACCTCATCATTGTATTGTCTTACCGTGTAGTTCTTTTCGGCAGTACTAGCAAGTACTTCAGTATCATTCCAAACAGCTCTGCTGGGAAAGAGAAAAGCGGATGAAGTAAAAGACCTACAACAGAATAGAGTTATGCGTTCAAAGGACTCATAATAAGCAAAATTCAGCTCATATTATCACCAAAATGCAAAGGCGGAGTCGCAGCCGCGAGCGGTCGCGTAGCGACGCTGTTCTAATTTATTTCTACCGCTTCAAATATACACAGGTTAAGATCCTGTTACAGCAACAGCCTTTTGAAATCCTAGTGTTATGCCAACGCAGTAGCACCGCGACCGCACGCGGCTNCATATCTCATGACGAAGTGCTTGACGCGAAAAAGCTCAAAGCTGCAAACCTCTGCATTCCTCTCAAACTACTAGGTGGTAATATCACTCTATAGTAGTTCATATTGTATCCCGAAGCAAAAAGTCGTACAAGCTGCATCGATCCACCCCATGCGCCAGCCAGTGAAACATGTGACTGAATGAACTTGTCCTTCCAGGCCTGAAAAGCGAGTCCGTTCAGAGTGCACAGTCAGAGGTCAGAAGTCTGGTGGAACCGCTGTTTACCTGATCTACGATGTTATTGAAGAAATAAAGCATTATTGGATTACCCATACTATGGCCAAGAGTAATGACTTTTGTATTGCCATTGTAACGATACGTAGTTTCAATAGTAGTCTTCAAAAGATCGAAATAGATGTAGAGCTCATCTGAAACGATAGTTTTCAGAAGTTCATCTGTATCTAGCAATCAAAGATGTTGTGCACCCACTTGGTGAGCGTCTCCAGTCAAATGGTGCTCCTATAATGTTTTTCCCACGTCTGTAACCCCATGAAACCATCATGTCCACAATAGTGTAGAAGTAAAGTCCTTGAGATGCCTGGAAGCAAGAAGTGAAAATGCGTTCTCTAAACGGATCTACTGACATCTGAAAGAATAACGTCTGAAACTAATCAGTGCCGCTTTCATGATGTACCCCGCATTCGACTCCTATTCAGAATCGTAATGGATTTTTGAATGAGCATGTGGCCTATGCAATGACATGTGATGTTCAGCAATGAACAAGTCAGTGTTCTTATTCTCCCACACAGTTCTAAAACGATCACGTGGTGTAGTGACAAGTGGCGCACTACCTCACACGCCCTGTCACGGGTTCGATATCCGCCTAGACCAACCGAGCCTTGGGAACGGTCAGTTGGAACCAGACTCGTCTGGGAGGATAAAAACACTGACTTGAATATCGGCTGGCCATTGCAAGTTATTGTTTAGGCCACATACGCATTCATTACGCCACTACGATTTTTAATGAAAGTCGTGTGCGGGGAGCATCCCCCAGTGGCAGTGATCAATGCCCTAAGACTTCATCTTTTATTTATTACACGTTATAATCCTTTTTTTGTTTTGGGTACAGCTGTTTTGGAATTGCTGGACACTCGAAGTTTCTGAAGAGATTCATATGTATACATTCCGTGCCTTCACGCTCCTGAGTAAATGCCGAACGCACAGCGCACCCCAGAGGAGCCGACGTCTACTGCGCACGGAGCTTGACTTTCCCCACTGCATTCCACATCCTTCCAGGCAGTATACTTTTCCTTAGTTTTTAAACTTGTTTTTGTACAGTGAACACCGTTCCAGGGGACTCGTAAGAGCTTGGAAAAAATAGATTTCAAAAAATGAACCTTGCTTTTATCGAGCCATTCCACAGTACTTGTACCTCCAAAACCTGGAACACGTATATCAACCCCTGGCATATTTGATGACATCCCCGATGTTGAATTGAACACAAGCCTAGAAAAAATTATTGAGATTCGGAAATGAACCTTCACATCCAAAAAAAAATGCACGCATAATGCATGCCGCATCCTGGCCTCAGAGAAGAGATAAGGAAAGGAAATCCATTCACTCACATCATATTATCAACCCAGCAATCGATAACCAGCGGGGTAAAAAGCTCGAGATTCAGCCATAAATCAAAGTAGTCAGTGGTCTGCTTTGAACAGATGTAATGAACCACTGTCGGTTTGCCAGTGAGATTCGCTTCCAGCTGACTGCCACCATCCCCTGGTACTGAACAAAAAGCAATCAATCGATAAACCAATCGACCTCAATGGTGATTTTTATAAACTCTTATAAGCTCTTAATAGTAGCACTTCTAATGAAATGTACTGTTTAGGAGTCTAAGGTAAGAGACATAGTCTTACTGAGTATTACAGGATGCAGAGGTTTGTTCTTGAATTTCGCCTTTGTAAACGGTGGCATACAATTAACGAAAGTAACGACAAGAATAAGTGAAAGATGCCATTGTAATCGTGGAATCATCTGAAAACATGCAGAAAGCCATAATGGACCACAAATCACCGAGTCTTGCAATAGCCCGTTCACAGAACATGACACGAAAGCGTGCAGTCGCGAAGCGGCTCCTTTACAGTGCTCGATTCATTTCCACAATCACACATTTCTGCTATAGGTTCGTTTCGAAGTCGGTTTTTCGAATTTTAACGTTTTGAAGTTGTATTCGAAGAAAGAGCGAAAATTTCTTCACTCACTACAGTTTGTGGGAACGAATTCTGCCTCGACAAAATAGACCTACGGGATCACAACGAATGAGTCTACAAGTTTCAGAGCAATCTCGATTCTTGTACTACTTTTAGTAGTTATGAAAGCTGATCAAGGCTAAGCAGATGAACAAGTTCCCCAACTTTTACCGTCGACCCCACCTATCGCAACGAACCACGCCCCACAACCAAATATCACCAAGTGTGCATGAAAAGTCAAGAAGCAGGAGAAATTCTAGCAGTTAACACAATGGTGACAATAAAAACACAGTGCAACCGGCGTTAATGCAATATGAATTCACGAGAACATTCAAATTGTCACCCCAAGCACACCATTTTATAAAATAAAACATAAGTTAGAGTTTGGATGAAGCAGAAGCTCTGTAGAGATGGAGTAGTTAGATGACCATTATGGGAGAGTTAAAAAACAGAAAAACCTTGATAGACACTACAATTGCAAGTGGATCGATAACGACTAGCCATAAAATGGTAACTGAAGTACTCTCTGGTGCTATTATGTCGACTAGTGGTGACCGGTGATCAGGACAATTAGCGTACTCCGCGTTAGACTGGGCAGGAAGACTCCCAGAGGCAAGCCTACAAAATATTGCCCATCCATACCACTGACACTGGCTGGGGCCGTTCCAAAGTGTAATACATCAAAGTCGCGAAATCAACTGATCAATCGCCAAACATCTTGTTACTGCTTTAAAACATGACCTTTGCATAGGTTTTCGATAATTTCATTCAGCCAGTGTGTAAAGTCTTTGAAATCCAGCTCAATCTCTTTCAACTACGACTTAGAGGTCTTTCAAAAAACATCAGCATTTAAGTCGAAGGAACCGAGTGTAAAAACGGTATTGTTCGACATCTCCCTTTTCTTGCACATCATTTTTCTACGACAAAAGAGACTAGGGAATCAAGAGTGTTTATTTTATCATTTAGATTAACAACAAGATCGAATAGATCCAACTGAGGAAACGAAGATCTTCTCCAACTCCGTGAACCAGAAGTAGGACATCATCGGTTCCATGGAACTTGCAAATGCTCTCATTCCCAAGAGAGCTGCTCATGCTTGCTGACGGCACACGTGATTCTCATCTGCAATTTACGAAACTTTGAATACGAATAAGAGGAAAAACAGCATCAGTAGAAATGTTTTCCATATGGTTTGTCCCAACAGTCATGGCTCCATCGGAGCTACAGAGGGAGTAGGAATATATAGACTTGATCGGGCATCTTCTCTAGCATGAAGCGCCACACAATCAAATTCTATGGGACATGCCAGACCAGATACAACCACAATAGAAAGGCCTCTCGGCAAGTGGCTCCGATGTTCTGCTACGGCGAAAAACGTCCACCCCACGTGAATGGTTAGGATGTTCTAAGCCTCATGTCCATAAGTAGATGTGGCATATCTTACCTGAAGATTTAGAATATCCAGCATTAGCATCCATAAGTTCTCATGCTTGATCACTGGCCACGTGACTCTCATCTGAAATATACGGAATATAGAACAAAATAAAGAGGGAAAACAGCATAAAGAGGAATGTTTTCTACATGGTTTGTCCCAACAGTCACGGCTCCATCGGAGCTACAGAGGGAGTAGGAATATATAGACCTGATCGGGCATCTTCCCAAGCATGAAGCGCCACACAATCAAATTCTATAGGGCATGTCAGACCAGATACAACCACCTTTCGGCAAGTGGCTCCGATGCTCTGCTACGGCGAAAAACGTCCACCCCACGTGAATGGTTAGGAGGTTTTAAGCCTCATGTCCACACCGACATACTCAATAGAAGCTCACCTTTTCATCTTCTGCCTAGCATGGACTCAGATATATACTTTTACGGCTATAATTCCGGAGCCATTTTCAGGAGGCCAAATGAGGCAGTGATCCTAAAATATACTTTCGTTGCGACGAGCTAGACCAAAAGCAATTGAGACAATTTCAATTCAAATCACAAACTCACCATGAAACCATATGGTGGAACCGAGAAACCGTTCCGCCCGTAATGGCATCCTCAAATGATAACCATCTCAAGAATTTTAGGCCAACTGTGACGCGAAAACTCCGTGATTGCAGTGTAGGTCCTGCAGCGCGTAATGGTATCCGCGAAATTCAAAGCGTTCATTTTTGGATTTTGTCGCGGTTAGGATTCTCGAATCTTCTCAACATAATTTTTTTTGAAACATTATCAGCCTCTTTCCTTTCTGAGATGTTTCTGCTTGTAAACTAGATTTGTTTACCGCTCTATGACGTATTTATTTGGTAGCGTTTGGAAAGCAACCATTTCGAACCTTTTTCTCAAACCTTTGAGGAGAAGATATGTTCCTTTTTGGAAGTAACCGAAAGAGGAATTATGTCGAGATTGAAACTATGAAAACCTGCGTTGGGATGTAAAATAATGTCCAAAGTTTTCCAAACTATAACTCTCCATAATTCCAACCGTACTTCATCATAAGAATGTACAATGTAGAGCAATTTTTCTATGAAGAGTATCTTATGCAATTCGTTTAGCTCAATTTCGACTTATGGACAAGACTGCAATTGAGCTTTTGTGATAACTGAATTGACAAAGTTTCTCTCATTGTTGGAGAACCGAGGAATTGTTAATTCTGTTACCGGCATGGAGTAGGTATCGACCGGTTCTGCGTTCTTTCTCATCCTCGGTTGGTTGCATTCATACT